TAATGGATACTGTCTTTTGCCACCGATAGGGATCTGCTTGGAGATTATCGTTGACCTACCCTTGAGAGCTCCTCCAGCTTGGTCTGTGCGAACTCCAGACTCTTCCTCTCCACGTGGTCGTGCGGAGTGTGCGCTAGGAGCTCGTTCAGTGTGATGATATAGCGGGGGATCTGTGTAGGGGTGAGAAGAGATCAGGTTAAACATGCAGCAGTACGGTTCTGGATACAACCAGCACAGTTCTACAGACCTACAGACTCTTCGTGATCGTGCGGAGTGTGCGCTAGGAGCTTGTTCAGTGTGATGATGTAGCGGGGAATCTAAAGGGGACAATATAATACAATGTTATGTAAAACATCAAGTTTATTCTATAAAGTAATTTGAAAGTAGATTTGAAAGTTTTTAACGGATTCCGCGTGCAAATCATACGTTAGAGTTATATAAAAATATTCTTGGTGGGTTTTTTGTTGTTGTTCAAATGGTGATAAGAATTAGTTATAATAAATAATATTGGCCATTGGGAATTAATGTCTGCAATAACAGCAATAGCTAGGATATGTGCGGCAACTCTGGTGAAACCCGATAGGTGTCGCTTCACAACCACCACAGATTTTATCCTCAATATCGTCAACATGTAGATAGCGCAAGGAACGTGCAGAGGCAAGCCAGTTCAGCAGTCACGCCGGCAAATGTGACAGACATACTAAGTATAACGTTACATGTCATTAGAGCTCATACATGTACATCCAGGAACGTGCTTTATCCATGCCAGAACCATGCTTAGGCACGATTCTGTTTAGATAGTCCACACGCATCCAAAACCGTGCCTGGGGCAAACCTTCGTTCTTGGATACGCGTAGAATCGTGCTTAACCCTAACTTTAACCCATTTAGGCATAAAACTAGATAGGCACTGGCTACAATAGACAAGCCTGGTTACACATGGCAGTAATAGATAGCCATTTCAATTTCTATTTCCTGTTGACAATTTTATATGGATACGCTGTAAATGGTTTTTACTTGTCGCAGTAACAGACAGACTTTTAAATTCTGTACATAACATTTTAAATCCGTTTATTATATGCAAATATGTTTTAATCGCGTCTATTCGAATTATTGTAATTGTCCTGACGCAATTCAGCCGTTTTGGCTGCAATGTACATGTTTTGTGACATTAATGTTATTGAAATAAACCATTGATATATAGACAATTGAATCGATATCGCCCACCTGGTGCATAGGGTAGGTGAGGAAGGTCTCCAGAGTTCGGCCCTCGCACACAGGCTTGGCCTCGTACTGCTTCAGCAGGTTGTTAAACACGTTACTCTGGTGCTTACACTCCGCCAGTACCTGGGCAACGGGAGAACCACAACAACGGTTACTTGCTTCGTCATGCCCAATAATGCTAGCCTGGGCGCATGCCATCCCCAGTAGTATTCGCCAGCTCTATAATGTCGCTAGCTACCAGTTGTAAGCTAGCGGGCGAATACTACTGGGGATGGCACCAAGGCTACAATAATGTACCCAGAACCGTGCCTATCTATAGTTATATTCCTGAAAGGACTAGGGTTAGGATCAGGCGCGGTTCTGGATAGTCTCCGCGTATCCAAGAACGTAGATTTGCCCCAGGCACGGTTCTGGATAGTCTCGACGTATCTAAGAACGTAGATTTGCCCCAGGCACGGTTCTAGATACACGTGGACAACAACGGTTACTCACTTTGTCATGACCAATATTGTACCCAGAACCGTGCCTATCTAGAATTCCAAACACAACTGTTACATCCAGAACCGTGCTTTATCCAAAGCTATTCCCTACGCAGAACCATGCTCAGTCACAGTTTTGGATAGTCTATGCGTTTTCAGGACCGTGTCTGAGGCAAATCTACGTTCTTGGATACGCAAAGACCACCCACAAACGTGCATACCTAGTTCTATGCCTGAATGGGTTAGGGTTATAACCTGGCACGGCTCTGGATAGTCCGTATCCGAGAACGTAGGTTTGTGACAGGCACGGTTCTGGATACACGTGGACTATCCAGAACCATGTCTGAGCATAATTCTGGATAAAACACGGTTCTGGATACAATATGTACTCACCTCAATATAAAAAAAAACGAATGAGTCGCCTTCAGTAGCTCTAGAATCAATATCTGTGACACAAACAGCGCAAAACAACGTCCGGCTGTGACGTCAATGCGACTGTTTATAGTTCACATACGCAGAATGGGCGCATTATTGTATATATCACTTTACCTTTTACACACACACAGTTCCTGTTTGAAAGTTCTGTCTTCTCTACCTGAGTCTACCTGTGTTTACCTGTTTATGCTTGGGTTTACGTGTGTCTACTTGTATCTACCAGTTTGTATGTGTTTGTACCAGTTCCTCACCTGCAGACTGTAGTGGTGGTTGCGCACGTACTCTTGGTAGATGCTCAGCATCGGCAGTAACATATCGAACAAATCTCCTGGAGAAAATAAATTATTAAATATGTCAATGTAGACAGAAGCAACATTACAGTGCAATCTCAAGGTATCATATTTCTACATTTCACATATGTGTTCATCCAATCATCATAAACAGATATTAAGACTAGGCTCCTGGGGCACCGTGAGGCATTGGGGCCCATATGATGACGTCGTATGTTGCAACGATCAGCTGAGGTCCAAATTGAATTTTTAATTTGAAAATACATTTATTTCAACATAACATTAGCCTTTAAAAAATACAAAAATGGACTGAAACTTTTATTTGTATACTGATGCATTAATACATATAAAATAATTGTATGTTGTATGTATATTCTAAGAAGTACAAAGGCAAGATTGATAGTTTTGCACACAAAAAAGGTCCCTCTCCCACTTACCCAACACCAGTGTCGGCCAGCTCTCCATCCGGGCGCGCAGACCCTGGTAGAAGATCTGGTGCAGGAACATGATTGTCTCGCTGCAGCAGAATGTAATGGAAACAATTAGATCTCTTTAGAATATTTATATAGATCGGTCAAACTTTAGAATAAGGTCCCCGGTACTTTCCATTTCCACAGCTCCTAAAACTCAGTTATTTATAAACATCCGTGGTAGAAGATCTGGTGCAGGAACATGATCGTCTCACTGCAGAAGGATTTAAGCAGAACAAAGACAATCAGATCTCCTTATGGTATTCAGCTCTCTTATTATACGCTCCCTTCTTCTAATGCCATTGCTTCCAAACCTCAACTTTTCATGGACATTCATTGTTCAAAGGTTTGAAGTGGGATGTTGTTCTGTAGATTCTTTTCTCAGACTAATATCTTCTCATACCAATATATTGTTATTTACAAGATGTCGAAAATGTTGGGATGTTCCTATATACAACCAGGGATTCCTCCTACGTTGCTTGAAGCGTTGATGTAACCGTCGATAAGTAGGCAAAATGGATATAGATATGAAAAATATATGTCCAAAATAGTAGTTTGGAGTTATTTGTAATCCAGATGATTGAGAAATGACATCCCAACATCCTATGTTCAATTAACCAACCTGATGAAATGATTTTCGGATGATGTAGAGAAATGGACATGACCTAAAATATGAAAACCGTCACTAAAAATCATCTTGCAAGGCCTTTCCGCAACTTGATGATGATGAAATGGTTTATTGAGGATAAAAACACTGGCAGCCTTACATAGGCTGAATTGTGGTTCTTTCACAATCCATTCATGTTAGACTCGTTGACAACATAATACAAAATTCTTATGGCATATCTTGGTATCTTCGTGGCGCTCTGTAGCGAGCAGCCGCGGTTTTACCTCTCTCCTACAGAGCGCCTCTCCCGGTGTCTTCAACCGGCTAATGTGTAACCTTTTTCGGGATTATGTGCAATATAAGTGTCTTGTAAAACTTCACCTGTTGAGGAAGATGGAGTTGACGTCCTCGTGCGTGATCGGCGGCTTCTTGGAGCTGGCGGACATCTTCAGCGGCCGCAGGAAGCACGTGACCAGGGTGGACAACTGCGTGACGTACTCCTCCTCACACTCCACCATCGTGAACACGATCTGACGGAAATTTAAACGCAATTTATTTATAATTTATTTATTTATTTCATCATAAGACGGCTGGGTAGCCCCATTCAGCTTACATTAGCTGTTTTCCAAGGGGGCCCAGCAAAATTACACAAGACATTGTAACATACATTGAGACAACATACAGTAAACATTAAAGTCTGATGCGTCAAAACAGAGTCATAGTCCTATACTCAAAGTCCTAGCCGTTCAAGGTCAAACAATTAGAAACTTAAACGTAACATTTGGAAAACAAATGCATAATGTTTACATCCGCATGGTTTAGCCTAACAAACTATGTTCTGTTCATTCTTTCTCAAAACCCCACCAGAACACATTTATATATATAGTGACCAGTCCCTTCGTCTCTGCCCTGCCACTTGCTACATAATGTAAAACCACCTTGTAGAAAACAGACTGCTGCGCACCTGGTTCCGTTTTCGCATGCTCTCGGCGTGTGGAGACCGGATGTAGTCCTGCACGATGGACTTCCACCGCCGCCGACATAACCAGCCTCGCAGGAAGCTCTGAACCTGTCGGCAAAGTCGGTAGGGGGCGTCAGTGTCAACTCACGGGTACCCTGAGAGCTCCAAATGGTCACCACATTTCTAGGTAGCCATCTGATAACATGTACAGTCAAACCCGCAAAAGTGACCACCTTTACATTAAACAAAAAAAAAAGGATCCCATAGATAATTTTCCCATTGGCACAAGCAATAAGAATCCTGTCTATAGTGATCACCTGTTCACATAGATAAGTTTTAATCGGTCCACAGTGGCCATCTGGCAGGTTTGGCTGTATATACCTGTTATGGCTGTTTTCTACAGAGTTGTACAGAAAAAGATAGAATACTGTCATCGAGTAAAAGGCTAGATTTTCCGTCAGAAGCCACGTTAAGCACTCTTGGTTATAGCTCTTTGATGTACTCCTGATAATGCTACTGTCTCTGACCGACCGGTCAACATACCCATCAACATGTGCCATCACATACATGAGTTCATGCTTGTTGTCTTGTAGTCTTGCAAATAGGACATGGAATTGATTAATGATGGAGTTCACTTATAATAATTAAAACTGATAGAGGATGAAGGAAGGAGAAAGAGAGAGAGAAAAAGAGATAGAAAGAGAGAGATCTACGAAAGAAAATAGAGAGAGATCTACGAGAGAAAATAGAGAGAGAGATCTACGAAAGAAAATATATATAGAGAGAGAGAGAGATCTACGAAAGAAAATGGAGAGAGAGAGAGAGATCTACGAAAGAAAATGGAGAGAGAAATCTACGAAAGAAAATAGAGAGAGAGAGATCTACGAAAGAAAATAGAGATCTACGAAAGAAAATAGAGAGAGAGAGATCTACGAAAGAAAATAGATCTACGAAAGAAAATATAGAGAGAGAGATCTACGTAAGAAAATAGAGAGAGAGATCTACGAAAGAAAATAGAGAGAGAAAAGAAAAGAGAGAGAGAAAGACAAATAGAGAGAGAGAGAGAGATCTACGAAAAACTTCTAAAATGGGAGAAGAGATACTACCCGCTACCAGGAGGCTACAGCATCACATTCGTTTGCGCAGATTCGTCTTACCTTACACACATCCTGCGTGAAACGACCTGAACCAGAACCATTGTTGGACTCCTGAAAATGTCATGCAGAATGTTTGACAGCGGGAAATACGTGGCGCGAACGTGGCATGGCTGTAGACTGGCTGTGGCATGGCGAGCGTACGGTACGGGTGGGGCAACTGGTAGGTAAAATGGCACGGTTGTGTAGCGAATCCTGAGGCTAGGGTTAGCGTGGTCAGAATTCCAAACACAACTAATGTTGTACGTATCCAGAACCGTGCTTTATCCAGAACCACAAGCTCATGATCATGATCATGATCAGACACGGTTTTGGATAGTCCACGGCTATCCAGAATCGTGTCTGAGACAGGTCTAGGTTCTGGATACGCTGAGACTATCCGGAACCGTGTCTATCTAGTTCTAAGTCTGAATTTATAAGGCCAACTTTACGACCAGGCACTGTTCTGGATAGTCTCCACGTATCAAACAAGAACGTAGATTTGCCTCAGGCACGGTTCTGGATACGCGTGGACTATCCAGAACCGTGTCTGAGCATGGTTCTGGATAAAGCACGGTTCTTGATACAACAACAACACTCACATTCGGCAAGCTCACTGGTATTATACATACATCCAGGCAAAAACCAACGTACAGAAGTGTCTGTGCGCAACAGTTATTAATGAATACACATCTGTGTGCATGCGTGAAACATCGGGTAAAATCAACTAGCGCTAATTAAAATCAATATGAGAAGGATAGTGTGTCAGATTCTGGGGAGGGTTCGTGTGATGGAGGTGTATAATATAGTTCCGTGTGCGGTGAATATCGGCCACACAAATTTGAATTTTTGGTTCTCAGATTTTCCCACTTCAACTTTTCTGATTTACAAAAGCAAAAGAGACCATCCAGGTTCAGCCCCACCCGAAGCGCTCATATTTGGGCACCGACAGTTGAAGAAATCCGTTGTCTTCAACAGCAATCATATAGTCAGACTATAGCTAGATCAATCAGAAGGCCCCCAACTCAGGTCTTTAATATCCGATACATTACACGGTTTTTCAAATTACCGAAGGTGACCCCAAATGGAATAGCATTCTGTTCCAATCACCATGACCCCACATAGAACACGCATTCTGTTCCAATGACCCAAATAGAACATGCGTTCTGTTCCAATGACCGCTGGTGACCCCAATTTGAACACAAAGCAATCAAAAGGACATACAATGGTGCACATAATACCTTGGGTTTTTTGTCCGCCTGCTTCATTTATTTTCTCCAAAAAATCTGAGAACCAAGAAATCAAATTGACGTGGCTTGTATGTGTTATGTGGACGTGTGAAGTCGGGGTACGGTTACTCAGTTTGATTGGATCCACTCTAGTGTGTGAAGTGATTATCGGCGCTTATAGAGGGAGCAAACGGAAACCTTTTTAATCTTCTTAATGTCGTCACTCTCCTCCTCAGTACTTCCCTCAGCTGACTGCTGCTCCTTCCGCAGGTGGATTAACTGAGCAACGGAAATAAGATTTGTTTTATTCACTTACATGTATGTAGTCATTTATTATTTTTCTCAGGACACTGGTCCACATTAAAGAAAATGTCAGAGCAGGACATGTTTAAATACTTGATGTCATGCAGGAACGAATGTATAGCATACAAACTTTGTAATTATGTTTCCAACCGTTTCAAAAGGAGAGAGGAAAGGACAACTAACAGTAGATGATAGGTAGTATATATTATTGTTGTGATGTATAGATTCCTAGCACTTTACTTATGATTAGAATATAGCGTTCCAGTATGAAATACTCATGTTTTGCATACTGCATATCCTCTTGATTCAAACAAATTTGTGCACATTTACGCACATAGAAATGTTTACACATCAATTCATCATAAGAATTTAGTAGTCAGGATTTCTCAGCAAATGTAACATGCATAATTCTTGGTGACGTAAACCAGACGTTCCGCTTGAGTTATCAATGACCAAGACACTAAGGGTAGGAGGACTACATACTACGTGAAGTATCAAAAACCGTGCCTATCTAGTTCTATGCCTGAACGGGTTAGGGGTAGGATCGGGCACGGTTCTGGATAGTCTGTGAGTATTCAGGAACGCAGATTTGCCCCAGGCACGGTTCTGGATACGCGATGACTATGCAGAACCGTGCCTGATCCTGACCCTAACCCATCCAGGCATAGAGCAGGACAGGCACGGTTCTGGATACAAGCTTCTTTGGGTTTTCGTGAATTTATTGGAACAACAAAGGAAATCGTATAGCGTAATTAAGTTGAGACAAGGACAGAAACTGTTGGACTTGGAGGGCCACTCGTGTAATCCTCGGTTTTCTGAATTCCCCCATTCGTCAGCATCTGAAAGCTGCTGGCTCCCGGTCAGATTCTAGAACCTTCACCACGTTCACTCCGTTTTAGGGCTGCGGACCGGTACACTGTACCGGTCCAATACCGTAAAAATCGTTTCGGTACAGGTCCAAAATACCGGATCATGAAGTAACGAGTATATACCGATATAGCTAGTTTACACCATGTATATGACTAAAGATAGGTAAATCCTACCACAAAGACGAAAAATTAGCACTGGAAAAGACGTAAACACCGTCGATTGATTTGAGATCCTCAGTCTCACGAGACATCGCGAGAGTGTGGCTGATCCAGGGTTGTGATTGGTCAACAAACTCAAATCAGGTCAGAGGTCAGTCATTTTCTTTGTTGTCAACACTTTATTATTGTTTCTGTGTCATGATTGAAAAAGTGAAGAACACGTGTTAATTTGTCAAATTGTTCAGGTACAGGTACAGGTCCGGACCTGTACCTAAATCTCTGTACCAGTACCTGTACCTGTACCTGATGTTACGTTTAGGTACGCAGCCCTACTCCGTTTCCTGTGTCTGACCCTTTTGTCAGTCTTATTGTCAAACAACAAAGATGAATTTGGTGCCTGACCTCCCGTTTGAGGCGCCTGATCTCCAGACTCTGCTCCTCACACTGCTGCATGAGCTGCCACTTCGCCGTCTTCTCACTCTCCACGATCTGCAGCAGGTGCAGGTACTTCTGCTCTAACTCCTCACGCTGCTGGGACAGCACCTGGTAACTGTGGGATGGAGTAAACAGTCACGCCATTGTTTGTTTGTTTGTTTGAGCAGCAGGTGCAGGTACTTCTGCTCTAACTCCTCACGCTGCTGGGACAGCACCTGGTAACTGTGGGAATATACGGGACATTGTTTGTTTGTTTGTTTTTTTGTTTGTTTGTTTGTTTGTCTGTCTGTCTGTCTGCCACTTTGCCGTCTTCTCACTCTCCACGATCTGCAGCAGGTGTAGGTACTTCTGCTCTAACTCCTCACGCTGCTGGGACAACACCTGGTAACTGTGGAAAGAGATACGACAATGTTTGTTTGTCTGTCTGCTTGTTTGTTTGTTTGTTTATTTGTCTGTCTGTCTGTCTGCCACTTCGCCGTCTTCTCACTCTCCACGATCTGCAGCAGGTGTAGGTACTTCTGTTCCAGTTCCTCACGCTGCTGGGACAGCACCTGGTAACTGTGGGATGGAGTAAACAGCCACGTCAATGTGTTTGTTTGTTTGTTTGTTTGTTTATTTGTTTGTTTGTTTGTTTGAGCAGCAGGTGCAGGTACTTCTGCTCTAACTCCTCACGCTGCTGGGACAGCACCTGGTAACTGTGGGATGGAGTAAACAGTCACGCCATTGTTTGTTTGTTTGTTTGTTTGCTTGTCTGTCTGCCTGTTTGTTTGTTTGTCTGTTTGTTTGAGCAGCAGGTGCAGGTACTTCTGTTCCAACTCTTCACGCTGCTGGGACAGCACCTGGTAGCTATAGAAACATATACGTCATTGCTTGTCTGTCTGTTTGCTTGTTTGTTTGTTTGTTTGTTTGTTTGTTTGGGCGGCAAGGGGCAGGTACTTCTGTTCCAGTTCCTCTCCGTTGGGACAACACCTGGCAGCTGTGGAAACAGGTACTTTATTGTTTGCTGGTTTGCATGTTTGTTTGCTTGTTTCTTTGTTTGTTTTTCTGTTTGCTTGTTTGAGCGGCAGGTGCAGGTACTTTTGTTCTTACGCTTGTGAAAAGTGTGATTAGCCAGGAGTGTTACTGTAATGCTACAACCAAGGCTATTGTTTACTTTAGCACATTATAAAAAAATGCATAGACAGATCTCGAGGGCTGAATAAGTAACCCTGCTCCCACCTTGCCCTGTTGAATAAGCATGAAGACAAGTGTATGATGTACGTTTATTCCTAATTCTAATGTCGTTACGCCTGTGTTATATCTATTACAATAAAACGTCTTATATTCATTCATCATTCGGTGCGGAACATTGTGTCTATAGGGCTGAATAAGTGACCCTGTTCCCACCTTGCCCTGTTGAATGAGCATGAAGATAAGAATATTACATGTCTATAGGGCTGAATAAGTAACCCTGCTCCCACCTTGCCCTGTTAATTGCCATGACCCACGACTCCCGGTCAGGCTCCGTCTCCGCCCGGAGGTCATACTGCCGCTGTCCCTCCTGCTTGTAGCTGATACAGAACAGGTGCTGCAATAAGACAATAACAGTCAAAATATCAGCCGATGTTCCAACAAACATCAGAAGGTTTGGCAGTAGATGTATGAACCACAAACATTGGTACAGGAATGAAAGATTTAGTCAGTCTAAGGCAAGTCGTTGCTTTTTATATATTATTTAGGAGGCGATACTGACTCTGTCCCTCCTGCTTGTAGCTGATACAGAAAAGGTGCAGCAATCAACAATCAAAATATAAGTTTGATTAGAAATCAACAGGTTTGGTTTGGCAGTGATAACAGATTCAGTCAGTCTAAGGTAAGTCATTGCTTTTTTTTTACTAGGAAGTCATACTGATCGTCTTGTTACACCTAACCCTTGAACATCTAACTCTAGACACTGTTTAAAGCTATCTAAAGACAACGCCCCTACTGTACTTGGTGACAGCGAGTTCCACTCTGCGGTAGTTCTAGGAAAGAATTAGTTTTTGAACACCTCAATCCTTGGTTGATAATTCTGGTACTTGAAGGTATGACTATTTTTTGTTGTCTTCTAGGCTGGTATTAGGTACTTAGTAGTTGGGACGTCCATCAGTTTATTAGTCATTTTGTACACCATGCATAGTCTGGACATCCAGTGAGACCCACTGTAGGTTTCACACCTAACATGTTCAGTACGTTGCCCCTACCATGTCAGTTCTTGCGTAACGCGCGAGCAGATCTGGAGCGGCAGTTTTGATGAGTTGCTGAATGTGAGACCTTTGACTTGCGAACGGCCACTGGGAGGACCTTATGAAATGGAACAGCACTTACAGTACCAGCAGCCCGTACGCAGAGACTGAAAAACTCTTTCTTACACATGGCAACATGCCTTTACAACAAGCCTTCTTAGTAAGACTCTTAGGACGCTCTGGTCTATACTTGAATGCCGTTTGCGAGGCTTTTTGTTATGTATTTGTTATTCAGCATGTTCTGTGCAGGCTGCGTACCTGGTTATTTTATGAATAAAATGAATAAACTGTAAAATGAAACTGTTTCACACCTAACGTGTTTTTAGTACGTTGCCCCGACCGTGTCCCTTTTTACATCATGTGCGAGCAGATTGCATTCGGCAGTTGTGATGGGTTGCCGAATGTGAGATCTTTGACTTGCGAGCGGCGTTTTGCGGCCGATGATACATGTGTGTGAGAGGGCGAGGGCGCGGGGGTCGCGTGGCGGACCGGCGGAGATAGCTCCGGGTTCGCGATTAGTGGCGAACAACGCGCTTGTTGGGGAAAACCGCGATATATCTGCTTTTACAATACTCCTGGGATCGCACTTTTACCACTAAGGCCACGGCAAGTACATTTTATGGAGGACATTCTCCGCAGACTCCAAATATAATGCGAGCGGGAGAAAAAACAGGGCGGGCCCAAAAGAAACAAGGTTTCTGCATTTTGAAATTTTGACTCAATCATTGTACAAATTGTTTTGATTCAGTGGGAACATCACATATACACAGCCAGCATCACATATCACTGCATCAAAGTAAGAAACAAAACATTAAATCAGAGCTTTTTATTGTTTTCCCTCTTTATAGTAATCTGCCATCCACCTTCCGGCATGGCAACAGACATCTTTGTCCATTTTCGGCATGGTGACCACTGTCAGAAGGCAACAAAATTTCATCAACTCGCGCTGATGTCATCCATAAAAATGACTTGCTGCGGCCTAATGCGTCCACGCGTGGACTATACAGAACCGCGCCTGAGCAGAGTTCTGGAGAAAGCACGAGCTGTGATAGCGGCAGCTTCTCGCTTAGTGGCGAAGAGCGCGCTTGTTGGGGAAAAAACCGCGATATATCTGCTTTTACGGTACTTCTGGGATCGCACTTTTACAGCTAATGCATCTGCAAAAAGGGTATTGTGTCCAGAACCGTGCCTATCTAGTTCAATGCCGGAATGGGTTAGGGTTAGGATCAAGCACGGTTCTGGACAGCCTTGGGGGTATCCATGAATGTAGATTTGCATGGTTCTAGAAAAAGCACGATTCTGGATACGTATACGTATATGGACCATCCAGAACCGTGTCTGAGAAAGTCTAGTTTAGAAGAGTATGGTATCCAGAACCGTGCCTATCTACATGTAGTTATTTACCAGAATGGGTTAGGGTTAGGATCAGGTACGGGTCTGGATAGTGTCCGCGTAGCTAATACTGTAGATTTGCGGTGACACGGTTCTGGTTATGCATGGCATATCTAAAACCGTGTCTAAGTATATGGTCCTGGATAAAGCACGGTTCTGGATGAAGCACGGTTCTGGATAAAGCACGGTTTTGGATGAAGCACGGTTCTGGATAAAGCACGGTTCTGGATAAAGCAAGGTTCTGGATACAGCACGGTTCTGGATACAATACGCAGTTCGCAAAGTCCATTCCTGTCGCGTTGTAACACGTTTTACTCCTCTCCAATAATCCCACCATATTGTAGAGATAAGAAACACACTGTGAATGTATCGTTACCATCTCTGCCTCCAGTCAGCTCCTTCGGCTAATTGCGCTCCTGCCGCGCCCTGCCTCGTACAGATCTACTGTCGCGCCCTGCCTCGTACAGATCTACTGTCGCGCCCTGCCTCGTACAGATCTACTGCCGCGCCCTGCCTCGTACAGATCTACTGTCGCGCCCTGCCTCGTACAGATCTACTGTCGCGCCCTGCCTCGTACAGATCTACTGTCGCGCCCTGCCTCGTACAGATCTACTGTCGCGCCCTGCCTCGTACAGATCTACTGTCGCGCCCTGCCTCGTACAGATCTACTGCCGCGCCCTGGATCTGTACGAGGTCTTAAACAAGTTTTCTGTTGACTGCGCAACCACGCGAACGCTCGATCAAACAACCTGAAAATAATCTCCAAGCAGATCACACGGTTGCAAGGCAGTATCCATTGGTGGCTAATGGACACTCCTCATCTTTTTCTGCCAATGGATACTGTCTTGCCACCGTAGGATCTACTTGGAGACAAGCGAATATTTGTAGTTTTCGCAGAAAAAAACGTAACTAATAGGAATCCAGTTGTGAATTTATGAATTTCTGAAATTCGAAACGTTAACGTTCCAAGTTTTCTGTTACCTGAGCAACCAATTCTCAATAAAGCAAGCTGACATGACAAACGAGTAGTGATAATTTTCGCTGAAAACATGGCAGAAATCCAACTGTGAATTTATAACTACGGATGGAGTCTGAAATTTGAATTTGCCAAGAAGCGTGCCAAGTTTTCTGTCCTCTGCACAACCAACTCTCAATCAAAAAACCTGAAATGTCAAACGAGTATTTGTAATTTTCGCTGAAAACGCAACAGGAATCCAGTTGTGAATTTATGACTACAGAAGAGGTCTGCTTTGGAACGTGCCAAATTTTCTGTTATCTGTACCGACAGCATAACCCACTCTCAATCAAACATCTATAACTGAACAACGAATATTATTGAGTTGGACATTTTATGCTTTATTCAGCGGAAACGCAACAGGACCGGCTTTACGACGCTTTAAGTCTTAGAGTTTAGGCGTAATGAGTGCCAATAAGTACTCTTTACGGACCCCTGTAAAGCTGGTGTAAATGTACTACTTACGCACACGTAAATATCATGTAAAGAAACTTAGAAGAGTACCATAACGCATGCTTTAAGAGTACTTAAAGAGCGGATTTCATGTAGTGTCAGATACGGTCTACTTCCAT